CTTAGTTCACTTCCATGTGCCTCACTTGGTTCATCTGTAAAATGGGAAGGTTAAAGTTTCCATCTTTTGGGGTTATTCCAATTACTGCCATTAACGGATTGAATGAATTAAGACTATAAAGGACAGGATCAGGCTTATTGTAGGCACCCAATTGTGTTGATTATGATATCATAATTAATAATGATTAATTGCAGGAGGGCCACTGTGACCTCTCTGGGTTTTCTCACCTGTTAAATGAGATGATACTTGCGTGCTGCTGCCTCCAATTGTGTTGATTATGATATCATAATTAATAATGATTAATTGCAGGAGGGTCACTGTGACCTCTCTGGGTTTTCTCACCTGTTAAATGAGATGATACTTGCGTGCTGCTGCCTGGTACTATGTGCAGCAGGTTCTCTGAATCTTTGTTTCTTCCTTTTTTTCTTGGTGAATGTCTTTTTCTCTTATTGTTGGCTGTTTAGAGACTCAGCATTAATCAATACAGTCATTAACGAAGTGTAATCAGGAGCAGAGACATGTCAGTCTGAAATGTGGCCTTGTCTTGAAAGGCCCCGCAGCTGGGGATAGGTCCTGCTGGGTCGTGGAGATTGTTGCCTGAATGTCCCACCTACTGATGGTCACAGGCCCTGTAGGTCCTACAGTTAGCCTCTCTTCATGTCATGGTCCCCACTGCTGCAGGACTCAGGAAGAACTCACAAAGGAAGCTCCCTAGCCCTGGACACCACCAGCAGCCTGAGGTGACGCACCCAGTTTTCAGCTCTCCCTTGCTTCAGAGTGAGTGCCAATTCTTTCCGTATTGATTTGGGGATAATCTTTGCTTCTTTTTGGGGAGTGCCTGTGATGGCTAATTTCATGTGACAACTTGCCTGGGCCAGGGGTACCCAGATATTTGTCAAATATTATTCTAGGTGTGTCTGTGAGGGTGTTTCTGGAGGAGATTAACCTTTGAATTGGTAGATAGAAAAGCAGATGCCCTGCCTGATGTGGGAGAGCTGCACTCAACCAATTGAAGACCTGAATAGAACAAAAAGGCTGACCCTCCCTGGGTAAGAAGGAATTCCCCTAGCCCAGCTGCCTTCGAACTGGGACATCAGCTTTTTCCTGCTTTCAGACTTGAACCACACTATTGGCTCTTCCTGGGTCTCCAGCTGGTCGACTCACCCTGCAGATCTTGGGACCTCTTAGTCTGCATAATCTTGTGAGCCAACTGCTTATGATAAATCTCTTTGTCTCTCTATATATGTGGGTACTTCAAAAAATTCCTGGAATTTTGCATTTTTTTAAATTCTATTTTCCATGAATTTTTGAAGTACCCTCGTACGTCCTGCTTCTCTAGGGAACCCTGGCTGGTACAGTGCCCTGCCGTGGTGCTCCAGGGGCCCTCCATTCAGGCTCATGGGCCTTCCACCATTTCTTCCATGAGGCCCAGGAGCATCTGTGTAAGAGGCATTTCCAGCACCCCAGGGCTCTCAAAGGGGCATGCCACCCACCACCCTGTGCCTGTAGCTCCAATTCACCCATAAATACCCAAGAATCCTGGGAGCTCCGCTTAGCATCATTGGGGGCCCATGGCCAATCTGCACTCCATTCTGGCTTTACTTACCAGGAGGGAACAAGCAAATCTGATGAATAAAACCCATCAGAGAGTCTTGACCTGAGTATCGGTCAGGAAGCTCATGTAAGAAGCAGCAGGGTTACCATTAAGTAAATGGGTGACCTCAATTCAGAGACAGTGTTTGTCGAGTCGAATCTTCAGCGGGTTAACTTTCCTCATATGAGCAAAAATGATATTTGGGATTAAGTTTTCACGGCACTGAATGCATTACTGGATTTCTGCTTCTTGTCATTAGAAAGGGGACGTAACCTTCACTAAGGCAGTCTGTGGGGACTGGGACAGCTGGCATGACTGCTGAGTGCTGACTGACCACAGGGGATTAGGTCCGAACACAACTCATTTCATGCTGAAAATAAGCTGATTTGTTTTTGTTTTTAAATAAGCCTTATTAAAACTGGCTGCTGCTGGTGTAGGATGTGCCGGAGCTCTGAGGACAGAGCTCTGCCTTCCCTGGCTGGCTTGGCACATGGCAAAGCTGCTTCCAAACAACTGCTCCTTCCTGCCTCAAATTGGGGAAGAACTCAGAGAGCCTCGCTGCTGTCTGAGGCCAAGGGGAGGTCCAGAAGCTGTGATCCCAGGGAGTGGGTGAGTGTGGGCAGCTTTGGACCCCATGGCCATGTTGCGGGGGACACTGTACACAGGTCAGGTGGGCATGGCTGAGTCTCTCAGGGCTGTTCTCTCTGCACCCCATCAGCCTCTCTGTGGCTCATGGCAGGGACCTTTCCCAACTGCACATGACTTCCATTGGGGTAACCTCACCTCCCCTCTCCCAGCCTCTCCAATGGCTCCACTAGGGACCCTGCCTTAGTGCTAGAATAGATCAGCAGTTCTCAGAGTGTGTTCTGGGAATGTGGGACAGTACCCCAGACTGTTTCAGGAGACCCACAAAGTCAAAACTATTTTCATAAGAATATGATTACATTGTTTGCCTTTTTTCCCTTTCATTCTCTCATGAGTGGGTGGTGTTTTCCGGAGGCCACGTGACATGGGATGACATCATTGCCCCGAGGGCTGATAGAATGCATGCGTGTGAATGTTCAACACTTCTCAGCTTTAATTCTGAACACAGAAGATATGGATAGATATAAACCACATAAATACAAGTTTTTTTGAGGTTCTTAATTATGTTTTAAAAGTATAAAGGGGTCTTGAGACCAAAAAGCTTGAGAACCTCTGCTCTAGATCCTTTCTTTTTCTTTTTTCTCTTCAAGGTGAGTCACTGTATTAATTTTAGTATATGTATTTCTTAAGAATTTAACATGTGTAAAACTGTGCTGTCATTTTTATTAAGTTCTTATCTTATTTTACATGGGTAATTGGCAAGATTTTTGAATGTTATGCCCCAACTCCGTTTTTCCCATGAATCCTGTGATTTTTATTGTGTAACTAAAAAAACTGCCCATAACATAAAGTTTAACATCTCAACCATTTTCAAGTGTACAGCTCAGTGGCGTCACGTGCATTCACAGTGTTGTGTAACATCTCCGCTCTCCATCTCCAGAACTCCCTGCATCTTGCAAAACTGAAACTCTCTCCCCATTAATCATTAGCTCCCTGTTCCCTCCACCTTCAACCCTGGCAACCACCATTCTACTTTCTGTCTATGAATTTGACTGCTCTAGGTACCTCATGTAAGTATAATTATACAGTGCTGTACTTGTCTTTCTAGATCTTTCTTGATTCCTTCCCACCAGCAAAACTACCTGGCCCCGGGGTCCTGTGAGGTGACATGATAACTTGAGCTAAGATGCTCTTGTCCTTTCCAGCTCTGTTGACCGTGGTGTGTTGGGAAGAGCATAAACTTCAGACAGGCCTGGTTTAAAACCAGCCTCCTCTGCTTTTGAAGCCATGTGTCCTCAACATGGGACTTCAATGCTCTAAGCTGTTGTGTCCCCATCTCTAAAATTGGGATAAAGATTCCCTCCCCTTGGAGTGGTTGTGGGGATTAGAAAAACATGCCGAGGAGAAGGCAGAGACATTCAGTGGCTGGTCCATGGCTGGGCTGAGGCCCAGCAGTGAGGGAGAGTGTGGCACACGGAGGGGCTGGGGAGGTGAGGGTGTGACAGAAGCTCAGTTTGCCAAGAGGAGAGTGGAAGGGGAGAAGCCATGTCATGAAGGGTCTCATGACTACTTGGAAAGTGTGGACTTTATTCTGAGGGCAATGGAGAGCCTCTGGAGGTTCTAGGCAGAAAGGGACAATCAGATTTGCATTTCAGGAAAGTCACTCTATCAGTGTGTGGAGAATGAATGCATCGGTGGGGGACACAGTGGGAGACCAGTGGGGACACTGCTGCCATAGCCTCGGTGAAAGATGACATGACACGGCAAGACGCCATAGAAATCCCCTTGAAAGAACTTTGCTCTTTCCTCAAAGTTTCTCTTCCCTGCTTTGCCTTTCCTCTTTCTCTTAATAGACAGTCCTTTAAAACTTCTTTATCATCCTGAGCAATCCCGCTTTCGCTCTCGGCTCTCACACCCCTCTCAATATGAGCTAAGTGCTTAGCGAGACAGCAGCCGCCCCGATCCTCCAGCCTGCCCCTGGGGGTGTCCCCCACCCCGCACCCTCCACTCCAAGAGCCGATCAAAGTATTCACCCAAAGAAATCAGCCGTATTGTGAAGGTGCTTCTGCCGAGCAAATATGAGCTGATACATTCATTAAAACATTTGCTTTCGGTTTTTTTCTATTATCCTGTAATCCTCTCCAGTTTAGGCAGCTGGACCATCTCCTCAAGAGAGGATCCTTATGGCATGATGCAGAGAATAAGAATTAAATTTTTGGCTTTGAGTTTTGAAAGCTAAGATCCAAGTATGGAACACAAGATCTGAAAGACTCTGATAAATCCAAGCCAGTGCCCCCTCTGTATCCCCGCTCCCAGGACAGGAGATCCAGTGTGCCCAGCCAGGGGTGGGTAGAGGACAGTGAAGCGGAACACGAGGCCATACACATAGTGGGCTCCTCCTACCCTGGCCCAGAATGTGCGTGTGTTTTGAGTAGGGGACACAACAGAAGCTTAAGCGCTCCCAGGACAGGAGATCCAGTGTGCCCAGCCAGGGGTGGGTAGAGGACAGTGAAGCAGAACACGAGGCCATACACATAGTGGGTTCCTCCTACCCTGGCCCAGAATGTGCGTGTGTTTTGAGTAGGGGACACAACAGAAGCTTAAGCTAGGTTTGGGGAGCTGAGAGCAGAAGTACGCATGTGTCCAGGAAAGGGGCAAGACCCCAGATCTAGCCTCGTCCAGAAGAAGCGTCTGTGTGGACAGATGATAACCAAGGACCACGTGCCGCTCACTCTGACCCCTGGGAAGACCCACGAGACAAAGAAACACTGTGTATCATGCAGGGTGCTGCTTCTTGCAAGTAACAGGAAACACCGTCCAATTGACTTAAATGATAAAGAGAATTTATTGGCTCATTAAATGAAAAAATCAGTGGTAGGGTGGCCTTCAGGTGCAGTTTGATTCGGATATTCACGGTGGCATCAGACTGTGGCTCTATTTCTCTCCCATTCTCTTGGCTTCGTGCTCTTTCCTTTGTAGGCTTTGTCTTCAGCTCACAGTAGCAAGATGCCATGTTTCCTTGTTCAGATCTGGGGGTGATGGAAGAGAAAGAAGTGATTGCATTTCTTTTCCACTAATTGTTGAACAAAAGCCCTGAATTTTGCTCTGATTGCACCAACTTAGGTCATGTGCCTTGAGCCAATCATTGTGACTGGTCTGCCATGAATGAAGGGAAGTCGAGGGAGACGAGGCCTGGAGGTGGGCAGGGGCTGGATGCAGTAGGGCCTAGAAAGCCATGGTGAGGGTTTGAATTCTGCTGTAATGGCTTGGGGAAGCCAGTGGGATGGGGCGGGGGTTAGGCATAACCTGATTTACATTTTTTAAAGAGCACTCAGCTGAAGGTGGAGAATGAATTAAATGCATGAATCTTTTTGGTGTAGAAAGGAGTGAAAACTTTTTGCTACAGATAACCCCTGCTTCTTTTTCAGGAGGGTGGACCTCCTTATATGAAAGACCCTTTTGCCCTGTTCTGGCAAAATCTGGGAGCAGAGGCTAGGCAGAACTGAATTTTGATGTATAAGAAAAGAGAATTTTTGGCATTCGTGTTCTTAAGAGAGAGAAGAAAGAGATGTGGGGAGAGAGAGATGGATCAAATAAAGATCAGAAGACTGAAGCCTCCATTTCAGAAATATTTGGGGACATTTTCAGAAATAAGTTTATTGAACTTTGAATTTTAAGTTGTCCCCTAAGATGTAAATCCTCCCAGGTGCTCAAAAGCTTCAGCAGACACTTATGAATTCAGTAGACCCTTATGAACTAAGTACACACTTATAAATAACTGTGTATAAGTGTGTGTGTGTGTATTATAGAAAAAGGCTCAGCCCCAAGTCTGGGTTAATGTGGCATGGGACAGAACAGCATATGTGGGGTTACAAGATGAACCCAAAGGAAATGATGTCAGGGTCATCTAGGATGAGGAGTTAGAGGTGACCTAAAACTACAAACTCCTCCCCAGCTCTCACCAGGAACTTCCAGAAACTGTGGGTGGCTCACTGACTTAGGGAAATCTGTAGAGTGGGGATTGGAAGCGCTAGAACTTAGAATTTAAGGAGCAAGTTATCGCCAGCTGACATAGCTGTAAATGCTTTAGAGTTTCTAAAGTAATTTCACATGTTTTACCTAAAAATGAAGTGAAATAGAAAAAAGGCTTTTTCTGAGAAATTATCACCTTCTGGTTTGGGAGTTGAAGACTTATTCTGTGAGAGTGTGAATTGCAAGATCTTTTTGAGATGCTATCTGGCAGTGGCTACTACAAGTTAAACACACATTTCCTCTGACACAGCAATCTCACTTGAGGACTCTGTCCTACAAAATAAAAACCCCAGTGCAGCTGGAGAGAAGCACAGTAATTATTACAGAGATGTTTATAATAATAGCAGAAAAAGCCCCCAACCAACCAACCAACCAACCAACCAACCAAACAAACAAACAAATCCAACCTGGAAACAATTTGAATGTCCACCAACAGGAGACTGGTTAATAAAATCATGGTGCGGCCACACAATTCCACACAATGAAGCTGTTAAAAAAGAATGAGTCGGATACGTATCTCGTGAGCTGAGACGATGGCCAGGATATATTGTTAAATTTTTAAAAAGCAAATTTAGGGATGATATATGTCCTGGTTTTGTGTGGGGAAAAAAAAAGCCAGTAGGTGAATGTATATTTAAAAAACATTAAAAAACCCCCCACAAAGTCACCAATGATATGCATCAAAATAGTAACCCTCAGGGGAGCAGGATTCAAAGGAAAAAAGCCAGTAGGTGAATGTATATTTAAAAAACATTAAAAAAACCCCCACAAAGTCACCAATGATATGCATCAAAATAGTAACCCTCAGGGGAGCAGGATTCAAAAGAGAAAAGGGAAAACCATGAACTTAAAAACTTGTATAATATGTAATGCTTTATACCTTGTGTGATTTGGTTCTACATTTATCCATGTATGTTCTGGGGCTCTGTGGATGCCTGGTATTTTTCCGGGTGTCAAAGTAGGATGTCCAAATACCTGATTCCCTGCCCCCTTCCGTCCCCATGAGAAGTGTCTTCTGCACAAGAGTGTACGTGTATGTGGGGGGGCTGGGGTTGGGACAGACCATGGCTCCAGCCAGCAGCTGGTTCCTGTACACCCCATATCATACACATCTTCATCCACTGAATAACCCAAACAAAAAAAGTAAAAACCAGTACTGAGGATGAGGTTTCTAAGATGGAGGCTGAGTTTCCACATGCAAAGGAAGTAAGTGGAAAATTTGACAAAACCCTGGAGATGGCTGGCAGAGGCCCAGGAAAGCATAAATTATCTGCAGATTTGAATTTTCAGGGTAGAGGCTTAAATTTCCCTCATCTCCTTGCATAGGGCGCCCAGCTGGCAGGGAGGACCTCCTGCTGGCCAGTCTCTTCACCTCCCCTCTCTCCACTTCCTTTCTCAGTCTCCACTTCCCATCTTTCTGCTTGCCTGTCTCTCTTCTTGTCCATATCTTAACCTGCTGCTCAATGGCCTGAGGCTGGCCCGGGAGCCCAGACCCCTCTTGGTCTCAGCCCCTATAGAGTTGGCCCCTTTGTGGGACAATTGTGCCCAGGTGGGCCCCTCTCTGGTTCCACAGAGCAGCATGGCTTGGAGTTTTATCAGCTGGATTCCTTCCCTGGTTTAGTTTTCTCTTTGCCCCACTTTGTACCATGAGGGTGAAGAGAAAGTTCTACTAAGGAGGAAGTGGAGGCTTTGAGAAGCTTCTCCTCCAGGTGAACTAGGACTTGGACTGGAAGGGAAAGGCTGGGAGCGGTGGGGGCGGCAGTGAAGAGCAGAAGGCCAAGTTTCTGGGGTTTCCTCAACCCCGAAGCTTTAACAAGAGGCAACTGGACACTGTCTCCTCAAACAGTGCCCCCCAGGAAAGTTTCTAAATCACACTCCCTTGGGGCCCTGGACAGAGCCCCAGTAGACTTGGGCTTGGGTCATTCAGCATAAAAAATATTACATGAACGATGACTCTCTGCAAATAAGTGGCAACTTTCCACTGGGGAAAATTTATTTTCCACTTGAAAAGTAATGAAAACCAGTCATGGTAAAAAACCTAGCCAGAGAAAGAATGCAGCCTTTCTTTTCTTCAAGAGGAGAATACCACTAACTTCCAGGTGGTTCTTTGTGGAATCCAGACCCAGGAGAAGAGGAGGCTGGGTTCCTGGGGTCCCCCAAGCTCTGGATGGAAAATGGGCTTTGGGGTCAGACAGGAAGCTTAGTAGGGGGGTAAAGCCTAGGGAAGCCCAGGAAATGTGCTCACTCTTCTGGGGGTGGGGTGGAGAATGCCCCAACAGAGGAGAATTCTGGAGCATCTAAAAATAGCAGGAAAGTCAGAGCTAGACAGCCTGAGAGAGACAGGAACTCGGCTGTTTTAATAAATCTGACACTCAGCTGTTTCTTTTTTAGTTCATCATGCTGAGGTGGATGCGGGGAAGATGGGGGCTGACTCTAAAATGCTCCGAGTTTCATGGGCCTCGCCCATGGCTACCATGGAGGTAGCGTGTCGGTAGGGAAGGCAATTGTCAACACGCTACCTCCAGCCAGGCACTGAGCCTAACTGCATCCATCCGAGTGCTCTGCCTTGGCTCACTCCAGCCATGCTTCTTCCCCATCACCCTGAGTACTGCCACTATGGCTCACTTCTACTGGCCTGTGATCTTTTAGGTGCTCTCTCCCCTGCTTAACAGCCTTCAGTGGCTCCCTATTTCCTCCAGAAGTCCCACTTTTTAGGTGACTATTCAAAGCTCTTTCTAGTCTTTCTCCTGCCTCCTTTATAGCTGCATCTCCCACCATGACCTTGAGATCCTCTTAGATTCCAGAATTAAACAGAAAATCAAGCCCCCTAATAGTGCTCTTCCACACGCAGGTGTTTTGCACATGCTGTTTCTTCTCTTTCTGCCTCGCTTGCTGGGGAGCTGGGGTCCTTCAAGAAGCAGCTCAGATATTGTGCTTCCCTCAGCACAACCTGCACTGCTCTGAAAAGTCCGTCCTAAACTCCCAAGGCAGCATGTGCAGGCTCTAGTTAGAGCACTTTGGACAACAAGTGACGATTATTCAGACCTTGGACACATTCATCTTCCAGAGTCTCAGGTTCCTGCAAGATGGGGATAATAGGACCTCCTAGATGAGGGTGGGTGAAGATTGCAAATGAAATAAGCATGCAAAGCCCTGGAAGCACTGAGTTAATTGCTGACCGGGATTACATTATCAGACAGTGAATGTTTTGAGGACAAGGACAGCGTCTCATTCATTTTATATCTGTGACTCCTAAGACTGAGGCTGGCTGGGGAGTTTTGCTGTGCTTGCTTGGGGAAGAGAGGGATGGCTGTCCTGTGATGTGTTGTCTCTCTCTGTGTGCAAGTTTCCAACTAGGTCTGAAGGCTTCCTGAGGAGGCCTGCCCTCATTCCCCCACAATGCATGGCTGACCACAGGGGCTTGATGAATATTAGCCAGCAAGTCAAGGCAGAAAAGGGAAAGAGACAGAGATTCTAGTGCCACCACGTCAGGCTCATCTTTCCCACCTCAGACACCTGGGAGTGTGCTGTTTCATCCTTCTAGGGAGGCTAGGCTGCCGACACTGACCAGCTTGCCTAACCAGGCCTGTGTCTGGTTCTGCAGGGGAATGAGAGGGCCTCTCGATATTTGGGTGCCCCTGGCAGGGGTGAGATAGAGGCAGAAATGGCAGCAGCAAGGAGGGGCTTCCTCAAATGTCAACAGTGCACAATGTAGAAAAGGAGGCTCCATGGTGTATCAGTTAACATTATGTTTGGTTACATGGGACAAAAAAAAAAAAGAGCCAGATCATGTGGCTTAAATAAGATAGAATTTTGTTTTATTTTTTCAGGTAAACAAAGTCTGGAGGTAAATCTAAACTCCAGAATAAGCACAAGATCATCTATAAGAAGTTACCTCATGTTCCAAAATGGCTGCTCAAACACCAGCAATCACATCTGCATTGCAGACAAGAGGAGGAATGTGTCAGGAAGAGAAGGGCACATGCCTTCTCTTTAAGGTTTCTTCCTGGAAGTCATATATGAATTACTTCTGCTTGTATTTCATTGTCTAGAATTTATCACAAGGCTGCACCTAGCAGCAGATAAATCTGGGAAAGGTAGTTATTATTCTGGGTGGCCATATGCCAAGATAAAAACATCAGGGGTTCCATGTTTAAGGAAGAAGGGGGCAATGGAGCATGCCAGACATTTAGCATTCTCTTGCACATATAATCAGATAAATTGGACAAACCCTTGGCTAGACAAAGTTAAACAGGTTTCTTTGCTGCAGAATGCCTCATAGCCTTTAGTGCACTAATTGGCATTGTTAATCTGCAAAAGAGGCTGTAGTATGTATTCTTTCCAAAATGCATTGTTATAGAATTGGTGTGTGTGTGTGTGTGTGTGTGAAGCAGTTTACAGAATTAGTGTTCTGTAGAACACACTCAGAAAAACTCAGTTCTTGGTAAACTGTAGAGTTCAAAAATGACTGAGTTAGGCAGCACAACTTTAAGGACTAAATGCAATTTCTTCAATAAACCTAGAATATCCACTCTGGATCAGACAAGTCCTGGGGCTAGGTGCTGGGATATAGAGATGGGTCATGTTTCCTTCTCTCGTTAAGTTCAAAGTCAAGGGATACATGTTCTCAGTCAAATAATTACAACAAATGCCAAAATGGAATTCGGACTTGGAAGATGTGATTGCCTCATTTTGATGACATCTACAAAGACTCTATTTCCAAATAAGGTCAAATTCACAGGTACCAGATGCTGGGACTTCAACATATCTTTTAGGGAGACACAAATTCAACCTATAACAGACATTTTTCCCTCTTCCCCGAGCCAGTCCTGTTGGAAGGACCTAGAGCTGACACTAGATCCTGCAGCTCTGACCACAAGCAAATCAACAAATCCCACTTAACTCTAATTTATTAGCCTTTGCACTGATCTAACTCCTGTCAGTGCAGAGCCCTACAAACACACACTGTTTTCCTACTGACTCCCAGCCAGGTATGTGGTGGGGGAGCCGGGCCAGCTGGCACAGAACATCATCCCCAGCTTGGGAGGCCGGCAGCGACGTGGTCAAGTTTCCTCTTCGGCGCCCCCTCCTGGCCACAGGTGACCATCTACAACCAGGTAGGGGTGAGCTGGTTCTGCAGGTAGCCCCGGCCCACCTGGACCCCACCAGAGCCCTGGCCCGGTGGACCTGGACTGCCTCATCCAGCTACATCATTTTAACAGCTTTGTAAGTGATGGAGGTGGGAGTGGTGGGGGGTGCTCAGATTCTATTAATTTCAACAACTGATGGCCAGGTGGCTTTCTCTGGGCATCACAAAGTTCTACTTGTCCTTCAAAGTTGAATTGGTTTGCTAGGACTGAGGTAGCAAAATACCACAAACTGGGTGTTCAAACAACAGACATTCATTGTCTCAGTTCTGGAGGGTGGAAGTCTGAGATCAAGGTGTCAGCAGGGTTGTTTCCTTCTGAGGTTCCTTTCTCCCTCCTGCTTTGTGTGACGGACAGCTGTTCCACACCTCTCTTCTAGCTTCGGGTGGTTTGCTGGCAGTGTTTGGTGCTGCATGCCTTGTAGAAGCATCACCTGATCTCTGTCTTCATGTTCACATGTGTTCTCCCTGTGTGCATGCCTGTCTTCAGATTTCCCCTTTTTATAAGGATACCAGTTATATTGGATTAGGGACCCAACCTACTCCCGCATGACTCTGTCTTAACTGATTACATCTGTTACGTCTCTATTTCCAAATAGGTCACATTCTTAGGTACTGAGGGTTGGACTTCAACATTTGAATTTTGAGAAGGGCTCAATTCAACCCATAGCAAAAGACCATTGGAAATCTCACCTCTTCCAGGAAGCCTTCCTCGCCCACTCGAATTCATGCAATCTCCTGTCTCTGAAACTCCTGCAGCACATAGTGTCTGAGGAACTCAGGGGCCCTGAGCCACTCAGTCTCCTTGGCTTTCTTGGGTGTTTATGTTCTGTCTCCCTAAGCCTGGACTTAACTCTTAGTATTTACAATTTTGAACACAAGTGTGGCTTCTGCCTGTTTTCTGATGTTATTAGGACTGGTAGTTGGGTGGTAAATTGAAAATCCAAAAGGAATGCCAGCTGGCAGCATGTGGTGGGCAGCGGATTTGTGCAGGAATAGAGAGCAAATGTTAACCACTGCATTAGTTAAATAGAGGTTGGCTAGGAGAGGTTCTCCTGCATAGAAAATCATCAGCAGCCCCCAAACCCCAAGATGAGTGAAAACTAGATGCAAGGTTATCCAACCCCCCACTGAGAATGCATTTTTATTTTAAAGACATTGTCAATACTCTGGACCATTTAAGACTCCTCCTGTCAGTTTTAGGTATCAAGGTAAGTGGCCATGCAGAGTTGTCTGGGGCTTTAAAAGTGGAAAGAAATTCTGAGCCACAGTGAGGGGCCCCTATGGAACCTGGATTTAGGGAGATAAATTTGCCTTCTGGAGTTAAACTACAAAACAAACATAATAGGTCTGAAGCAGAGAGCAGCAGACTGTTTCCTCTGATTCACTATATTAATGTACCCAAAGAGGAATGTGGTCCTCAGACATGTGTGTGAGTGTGTGTCTGTGAGGGTGTGTTAATGAGTGTGTGTGTGGTTGTGCATGGCAGTGTGTGTATGTGAGTGTGTATGAGTGTGAGCATGTCCGCGGGCGTGTGAGTTTGTGTGATTGTGCATGATCACATGCATGTGTGCGTGTGTGTGGACAGCTGGGGAGGCACAGGAAAGAAAGAGGATACTTAGCAAGACGTAGCAAAGCCAAGCGGTGTGTCCTTGGCTCTCCCCAAGGGAAAGAGGGGCCAGGAACACAAGCACTTGGCCCGTGCTGAAAGTCTGTCCATTCAGGGAGACAGGTGAATCAGCTTGTTACAGTGCGTGTGACACCACCCATGTCACCCAACGCCCACCCCCAACACATTCCAAACTCACTCGGCACTGACTGTCATTGACTTCCTGGGAGCTCTCCCTTTGGGGAGAAAATGTGCCCATGAGTAGACACCAAGACCCAGCATGAGGGGACAGGGGCTGAGAGCCTGGACTGTGGTCAGCCTGCCTCAGGGTTCATCTCAGTTCCTCCCCTCGCTAGCTGATGTCCTTGGGAAAATTACTCACCCTCTCTGAGCTTCAGTTTCCTCATCTTTGAAGTGGGCTTAATGATAGTGGGGCTGGCCGGTTAGCTCAAGTAGTGAGAGTGTGGTGCTGAAACACCAAGGTCCAGGGGGATCCCTATACTGTCCGGCTGCCAAAAAAATTTTAAAAAATAAAAGTAAGTAAATAAAAACTTAAAAAAATAATAATAGTACCTGCCACATAGACTGTGGTGAGAATTAATGAGATGATCCATGTAAAGTGCTTAGTACAATGGCGAGTACACAGCAGGCCTTTAAAGTGTAAGCTACCATCACCATAATTACAAATACCATAATAAATGAAAACATCAGTACTATATGTTATACATGCCTTTGAAAAATGGACCCATTCCCAGGGGGCTGCCTGTGCTGGAAGCTTCATGAGGACATGATCTGCTTGGCCGTCACTGTATCCCCAGTGCTCAGTGCACAGCCTGGTGTATAATAGATGCTCAGTAAGTGTTTGGCGAAGAAATGAATGAATGAGTGAATTAGTGAATGGCACATCATGTTTCTGGGCCCACAGGTCCAGCACCATGCTAGCTTCACAGAGGCAAGTCATTCTATACACTTGCACCTGGTGACCAGGCCACCTTTACCTGGGGACCGCTGACCCTAATCAACCCTGGCACGTTGCTCACTATTGGAGGAGAGGCAGGGGGAGGAGTTTGGGGATGGAGCTCCCTGAGCAGCCACTTGGTCACCAGACCAAGGCTTGGGTTAATATCACCAAGCTTCCCAGGCTGCTGAATTGGGTCATTTGTATCTGCTTTTGTTTTATATTAGTTTGCAGGAAAGCAAAGTCACTGAGCAAAGTTGATCTTCCAATGCCCTGCTACTTATGAGGGTACTTCAAAAAGTTCATGGAAAGATTCGTATTACCTTTCATTCTAATTTTCCATGAACTTTTTGAAGTATCCTAGTATTTTAAGTATGTGTCATGGACCAGCAAAGTCGACCTCATCTAGGAGCTTGTTAGAAATGCAGAATCTGGCTGGCCAGTTGGTTCAGCTGGTTAGAGCACTGCCTTGTAGCATCAAGGTCAAGGGTTTGTATCCCCTTACTGGCAACCGCCAAAAAAAAAAAAAAAAAAAAAAAATCATGGAAAGATTCGTATTACCTTTCATTCTAATTTTCCATGAACTTTTTGAAGTATCCTAGTATTTTAAGTATGTGTCATGGACCAGCAAAGTCGACCTCATCTAGGAGCTTGTTAGAAATGCAGAATCTGGCTGGCCAGTTGGTTCAGCTGGTTAGAGCACTGCCTTGTAGCATCAAGGTCAAGGGTTTGTATCCCCTTACTGGCAACCGCCAAAAAAAAAAAAAAAAAATGGAAATGCAGAATCTCCGGCTAGACCTAGAGAATTGGGATCTGCATTTCCACACGACCCCCTGGGGTGTGTGCATATTGAAGTGTGAGATTCCTGCTCTAGTGCACCTGCCACAAGAACCCACGGTCTGGTCTCCTCCACTCCAAAATGTGCGTCCCAGTGTCTGAGCAATTCTGGCAAGTTTGCATGTATTGTGTTCCTGCTCCTTCTCCCCTAACTCCTCTCTCCTTTTCCTTTTCTGCAACTCTTACAGTGGTCAACAGCCTGGCCTTTCTTCACGATTATAATGAGAAACTTCTCTGCTGTTTGCTGATTGAATTGGTATTTTTCTTAATTTAAAAGAGTTGTTGTTAAGGCATGTTCTACTGCTATGAGTTTATCACTCCTCTGTTGCTCCCTGGCTGGTACCACCCCAGGCCCTGGCATGCACCTTCTGCTGCCCAAGGAGCAAACAGCATCCTTAGCCTTCCAGAGAATCCCTGCCCGCCTCCTCCGCATCTGTCCTCATCTGTCCAGATGTGCAGATCTGGCACACGGGCAGGTCCTGCCTTTATTCTTCTAGTCTCTTACCTGCCTAGGAGAGAATACAAACATATGTCAATGACAACACAGTAAAATCCGATGACAGCTCAAGAGCTCCTAAATCTTCCAAATTGCTGTCTGCACTTCCTCTAACTTTCTATCCTGGCATGCCTGAACTGACCCGCCCCCCGGATCCAGTCCCAGCAGCTGCAATCAAGCGTCTGCTCATTCCAGCTGCTGTGGGAAATGCTGGGGCTGCAGGTACCAGCCTCTTCCTGGCTGCACCTTCCTAGAGTAGGATACAGCTAAGGCATGGGGTGGGGGGCACTGGAGGATGGGAATAGAGGATGGGGCCCAGAACTTTCCCAGATCTAACTTTTCAAAGGCTCCTCTGGCTTTTCTCATGGAAAACCAACCAACAAATGAAGAAACCCAGTGAATTTGCCACAGGAATCCTAAGGCAGGACAAAAGAGAATTCCTAGTTGGTAGGGTTATGGCAAAATCTTTCCCAAGCAGCTCCATGCTATGTATGAGAACACAAAAGAAAGGCTAGAATTTTTCTTAAATATCTAGAAATTAGGCATTGCCCTCAGGTTCTAGTTGAAAACAGTGGTTGGAATTCTGGTGCCAACTTTGCCAGAGGAAGAGGGATAGGGGAAGCTCCTTGGTGGTGACTTGACATCCTGGTTACTCCTATGCCCCTAGTATTTGCAAAGGGCTTTGTGAGACAAAGCACTGCTGATGGCCCAGAGACTTGTCATGGATGCAAAGAGGCCAGTATCTGGCCTCCAACCCTTTTTTAACTGTAGAGAAGAATCTTCCAGTTTAGGTGGGGAGAAGCAAAGCCATTTAATAATTCATTTCTTAATGAAGAATGAATCATTTTTAAAAGCTGCCTGCCTCTTTTACCAGCTGACCCTATAATTAGACAAAGCAGGATCATTTCCTTTTGAGTGCTGACTCCCCAAAGCAAGACCTATTAGTCAGGGTCTATTGGGAAAGAGATGGCACACTCAGATTAGGATACTTTAAGGAGTCCTTAAAAAAAGGACTGTTTACAAAGGTGTGGGCAGGGTACAGGGAAACCAAAAGGGACAGTGCATTATACCGAGGCTACTAATTCACTGTGGGGCTCTTACACCCTTGGGCCTGAGGGGGTGAGGAGGAGAGTATTACCAGAATCTGGAAGGAGACAGTCAAATGCAGAGTCACCTTGAGAAGAGCTGGGACCTGCAGCTTAGGGGTACAGCTGGCCTGAGATGACCCTGTGAGAAAAAAGACAGAGGAAGGAATATTCCAGCCTCACTTGTCTCTTTCCCTTGTCTTCTGCCAAGGCACCCATTGACCAGACCCGACCAGGAGCCTGAGGGGAAGGAGCCTGTTACTGCAGTGCAGACAGGTCAGTCTCTCAGGGCAACTTGGAGAAGAGACAAGAGTGGATCTGAAGGGTCCAAGTGGGGCCACCTGGCACCTGAGCTGCTGAGCTGCTCTTTCATTCATACTGCATGATTCATGCCTTCTTAAAACTGCAGCTATGCAAACATCGTGCCATTTTGCTCTTGAACTATCCACTCTTGTGTTGTTATCATTAAACAAAGCTGAGATAGCTCATCTGCCAAACCAGCTTGGAAGCTCTTTGGGGACAGAGACTGCATCTTCCCTTGGATTCCCCCATGACTCTGGGTCCCTCCTTGCACATTTTATGTGCACGCGTGTGTGTGCATGCGCATCAGAGAGGACAGGCCTGGTGATGTTGCAGTAACAACCACCAGATCTTGGCAGATTTATACAATAAATATTTTCTCTTGTTCATGCTACCTGTCCATTGCAACTCATCATGTCATAGTTACTGGGGGACCCGTGATGGCTTTGTCTTGACACACATATCTGCATTCACAAAAGAAAAGGGAAGAAGATAGAATGAATTACACACTGGCCTGAAGTTTCTGCCCAGTGTGTCAGTTCTGCACACGTTTCACCAGCCAGAGCAGGCGCCTGGCTGTGCCTAACATTTACAGTCAGGGAAGCAGAATCTGTGCATGCTCTGAAAGCGGAGATCCAGAAATACTTGGTGAACATTCTCCAGAGTGGGTGACGATGGTCTCTACTGGGGAGCAGTGGAAGAGTACTTAATGTTTTTGAATTTAATTGAACAGTAGGTGTCAATAAAAATTAAATGAATAAGTGAATCTATGCCTTTTCACATGTTCAATTCAAATCAGCCAATAGCAATAGCAACAAAAAGCTGGTAAATCAGGTGGCCAGGAATTACAGAAATCACATGATTTTTGAAATGGGCAGAGAGGTTTACATCACGATATTCTATTTTTGGCTTGTTTCAGCACAGCTTATTTTGTTTGATATAAATTGTGCCTAACATGTGGGTTGTTACCGATTTCCAGATTCTTGTGTCCTTGGCTATTCTTTAAGACTTGGACAGATTGATATAGATCTGCTCATTGATCTTTTTTTGTTGAAACATATTGATTATACATATTTGTGGGGTACAGGGTTACATTTCAATACATGTATACAATGTATGATACTCAAATCATTGTAATTATTGTATCCATCATGACAAAACTTAATCATTTCTTTGTGTTCATTGATCTTGATGCCTTCTTTGGCTCAGCTCCAAAGAGGACATAGCTGCTGCCCATTCCCTGTTATTTGTGAGACAGCCACAGGAATGGCACCCTACACCATCGCCTGGCACCAGGTCACAAACTTCCTCAATTTGGGCCCCCAAGAAATCCTTTACCTTACCAGAAGTCACCTCACCTCAAAGTAAGAAAGGGTGAAAAAAAAATTTCCTGATCTAGGCAATCACTTTGTTGAATGAAAATATGAAAAAAAATTGAAACCAAATTCTCAGCATTATTTTCAAAAGTGGAAAAGTATCACTCATCTTCAGAAACTGTTCATACTTAAGAACTCTTTGGGTGGTGACCCTGGCTGGCTGGGGTTATCCTCAAATTGTTTCATCCACTTGGCTTTCCAAAGAAATTGCTTTGAAAAAAACATAAAGAGACTGTGACTAAAGGTGTAAAAGATGGTTGTATTAAAAAACAACCCCCATACAGTATCTCTTCTCTGCTTTCTCCTATTTTTTTTTAGTAATCTTTTGCACATCATGAATCCTAAAAGCAAATGCCAATGTTGTTTCCTCAAAGTAAATTCTCAACATAATTTTGATGGCTGGACTTAAGATGTTTTACTTACAATGTGAAACCAGACCTCCTGCGATGAACACTAATTCACGAGATCTCTAGGGGCCTTTGCATGGTGAGAAGAAAAGGATAAAATTGACCCTGTGACTCAAAATGCACTTGACCTCAAGTAATTTTGATGGCTGGACTTAAGATGTTTTACTTACAATGTGAAACCAGACCTCCTGCGATGAACACTAATTCACGAGATCTCTAGGGGCTTTTGCATGGTGAGAAGAAAAGGATAAAATTGACCCTGTGACTCAAAATGCACTTGACCTCA